TTTAGAAAAATGATTATGGAAAAATAATAATAACCGAAACGTGTTATCTACCTTTGTATAAATTCGGTTAAGCATTAACAAACCAAACACAACTAAAATTCTAAATAGACAAACACTTTGTACGTGGCAATGTAGCTAATGTCAAATTCGAGTTCTTCGCGTGTAGGAATGGCAATGGGGCGGGTTCGGGGCGGGGCATGGCTTCCCAAACCCGCCCCGATAACTTTCGGGTATCTTATCGGGGCACCCCATTGGGTTTCGGGTTTCCCCGTCGGGTTTCGGGTATCTTATCGGGTTTACAACAACTGATAACGAAATCTTTATTCTCTTTTAGGGTACTCTAATATCTTATAAAATATACATATTCTAGCAACTTTTTTAAATTAAAAACATGATGCATCACTTTAATAAAATAAACTGGACGTTATATAAAAAATTATTTGATTTAAGTTTTGTTTAATACGTCAAAACACATAAAAATGATCATTAACACCAGATTGTTAATAACTAAAAAAATTGTCCACGATAAGTATTTTATATTTGAACGTGTACAATTAACAGCAAAATTTTTTGAACATATTATATATATATATATATATATATATATATATATATATATATATATATATATATATATAAAATTGGGACAGGGCGGGTCGGGGCAAAGATAACCCAGTCTCTGCCCCGAACCCGATAAAAAACCTGATAACAACCCGTTACCCGACCCGAAATGATCGGGTTTCGGGTTCTCCCGTCGGGTTCGGGTTTTTTTGTCATCCCTATTCGCGTGTTAGTTGGCCTATGATACATAATTACATGTACTTTTTTTTTGTCTTCCAAAATGGCTTTTCTTTAATTTTAGATTAAAGTTAGGCATAGTAGCGGAGGTAGAAATTTTTATATAGAAGTACAAAAATTATCAATAAATATTCTATGTGGTTATCATATTCGAGGTATTAAAAAACATAATATAATCTTTTTAGCTAGGTGTACAATATCATAAAACATTTTACAAATAATTTTTTTTATATACATAAAACAATTTTTTTTGGGGGTGCTGTAGTATCTCTAACGCTCCATTTGGTTCCGCCACTGGCTATGCAGTCATTCTAATTTATGCATACTATTCTCGTAAGAACTTTATTCAGATTAGTTGAAATAATTTGACAATTTGAAAAAAAAAACATTTTATTTAAAAATATAAAATACAAGAATATAAAAAATAATGATCGTTATTTATTACATATATGATAAAAATAAGTATATGCAACTTATAACTTAGAAAGAAAACTATGATACACTTTTTTATTAATTGATTACTTTATTATATATTATATAATAATGATGGAATATGACATTAATAACTAGAATTTTATCACCATTATTGTCTGTTGCCAACGAAAATCCGTTGTCATCTTTTGTTAAATTAACTCCCAGTTGCTTACATAAAAAACTAAATCGTTTATGGAATGCTTTTATTAAGTGTAAAATGGATGGATTCAACTCGTTTCGAGTTAAAGAGATAATCAATCAATTATTTCTCTTGGAAAAAAATAGATATCATGCTTGATTAATCCGTTGAATCAAATTGTCTTGAGGGCAATTCTAAATGTATGATGTGCCTCCGGCTTCACCTTCCATCTCTTATGAGAGTTACCGCCTTCTTCACGTTTAAGTTAATCCGGAGACAACAAACAATTCATAAGCTGATTGGCCGGGAGGGGGTCCCGGATCAACGCACCGATGATAAAGTTAGAGAAGACCTTGAGAGAGTATATTGAAAATCAAATGGAGTTTGATAGAGTGGTGTATGTGTGTTTGTGTACCTTGTAAAGTGATTTTCGTCACTTATTTATAGTCTATATTTAGGAGGTCATGACCTCTTCTTGTGTAACGATCCAAATTTTCAAGAAAAATTTGCATTTAAATTAATAAACACAATTGCATAAAACCATGATATCCCACATTTAGTTTTAAAACATCATCCATTATATTATATAAATCATCAGAGTCCCCAAACATATTAGCGAATGAGAGATAGAGTGCACACCGTGCCATCACACCTTGCTCTTGCCCTTGGGCTCCGACGTACCTGAAACAAATCAACAACCTGTAAGCGAAACGCTTAGTGAGTTCCCCAGAGCATACCACATACCACACATACACATATCCTAGTAACTAATCAAACTACACACATATCACATAAGCCATGCATATAAAACCAGCAAGAATGCCATGAGCTACACCACATGGTCTTTACCCAGGACTGCCATGGGTACCCCACATGGTCTTATATCTAATGTCATGGGCTACCCCACATGGTCTTTACCTAGGACTGCCATGGGCTACCCCACATGGTATTACATCTAATGTCATGGGCTACCCCACATGGTCTTTACCTAGGACTGCCATGGGGTACCCCACATGATCTTACATCCAATGTCACGGGCTCCCCCAGGGTCTTCATGCAAAACATACAATCACATATCATATCAAATCACAGAGTGACTACATATATACCATAAACACATAATAGGTCGGCCTTGGTGCCTTAGACCTATAGGTATGGTGAGAAGACTCACCTCAGTCTGATGAACACACAAGCTGCTCTCCTAACAATCTGCAACCTCTTGAACTGGACAATTTATATTAATCAATGTTAGGATCTTAAATTAATCCAGGAAAACCCAAACCCATATCCTTCCATGAGGCCCAAAATACCCTTCCCTTGCTAATGGGCCTAAAGTCCTAGTCCAAGTTCATTAATGGGCCTTTTAGCCCAAAAGTCCCACCCAAAGTATTCATGGCTCATAACAGAAGAAATGGACCACAATTCACATAATACAACCAACCCATTAACCAAAATGAAGCCCAAGAGCACAAAGGCCCAAAACAAATCCAACCCAAAAACATTGTTGTGCCTGTCATCCCCCCCCCCCCCCCCTATTTCCAAAAACATTGGGAAGGCGGAGCTTAACAGTAAAAACCTCCATATTCTTCGACTAGGGCAGCATTGAGAGCTCAATTTTCCAAAAGAAAAGAAGGGACATAGAAAATCGTTTCCTTAGGATGGGTAATGGATCGTCCTGAGAAGGTGATCGATTTATCTTACCCTAAACGCAAAAGGACCACTCATGGTAATGAAACAAGAAATCATGGTCTATTGTTGTATGGAGATCATCCTACTTCTGAGTTTGTCAATGCAGGGCCTTCTTTGGAAACATCTGCAACAACTACTCGTCATGAGTGTTTGATAATTACTGATCCCGAGTTAAAATATGCCAAGTTCTGGTGCTCCTCTCCCTATTACTTTGGAAATTCCAGTTATCCCTAAGTCTGTTGATCCGTTGCCAAAAGATCAAACTCCTTCCACTTTATTAACATGCTGTTGCCTTTCAACAAAAGCTTTTTGGAGATGGCTTTGGACTTCTCTAAGCGTCGCTGAGTCCACAACCATCACGGTGGATCCTCTTCCATATAGTTTGGATGCCAACATACCTTTATTACGCCCAACATAATAGGCAACATGAAAAAATAAAAAACACTTAGAATTTTAAGAAATTTACTTAGGAACCAGACATTACATAAGATATGAAAAAAAATGAATTTTGGCATAATTCAAATCAGATAATTACCAAAAAAAATAACCACACAAATCAAATTAGGCAGAAAATCTCGAATCTCTGATTTTCAGCTGAGCTCACGCTATGATAGAAAATCTGTCACGTTATGAGAACAGATTTTTGAAAACAAAAATGTCCAATTCAACTTATTCACTTTCAATGTTAGACAACCAGGCTACGATACCATTAATGGATTTTATAGGTTACAAAAACGATTTTATAGGTTACAAAAACTATGTACTTGCTGAATTTCACTTAACACTTAAGGGCACATGCAACCTAAAAGATATATGTCAATAACACTTTGAATGTAACATACAATGAATAAAAAACAACCACAGATCCTAATTGAAACCCTATTATAATCGAAATACAAGAATTAGGGTTACATACCTTTGATTTGTTGAAGTAAACAAATCACTTAAATCCTATGTAGTTGTTAGACTTGGAAAGCTTAGCACCAAAAAATGATGTCTCTAATGGCTCAAACCCAAACCCTAGAACTAAAAGACAAGATAGGAGTAAGGAGGAGAACAACAAAAATTTGGATATCTCCGGGTAAAAGGACACAAAAGTAACTGACCCAAGGGTCCTATTTATAGTTGTTGGGAAACCTTAGAAACCCTAAATTTGACCATATAATAATATATTTCAAATCAAAAAATTATCTAGTTTCCTAAGTCTCAATAGGAGGCTTCTAGAAACCCTAATTGGGTCCTAAAAACCGTCCCTAGAACTAAAACACAAGATAGGAGTAAGGAGGAGAACAACAAAAAATGATGTCTCTAATGGCTCAAACCCAAACCCTAGAACTAAAAGACAAGATAGGAGTAAGGAGGAGAACAACAAAAATTTGGATATCTCCGGGTAAAAGGACACAAAAGTAACTGACCCAAGGGTCCTATTTATAGTTGTTGGGAAACCTTAGAAACCCTAAATTTGACCATATAATAATATATTTCAAATCAAAAAATTATCTAGTTTCCTAAGTCTCAATAGGAGGCTTCTAGAAACCCTAATTGGGTCCTAAAAACCGTCCATGTGATGAAGGTTTCTAGATCCTCTCATTTATTCAACTATTGAGTAATTACAACTCATTCCTTGCACCTTTAATCAATTTGAATTAATTCCAGATTAATTCTGATTAATAATTAATCAATTCCAATTGATTTCATATTATTTTATTAATCACATAATAAATCAACAAATAAATTAGGGAAATCTGCGAAAAAGTCCCAAAATTTGCCCCAATTTATGATTTAGTCCTAAATTAAATTTTACTTATGAAAAAGGACAGATTACGGGCTAAGACACTCAGTTTGGCCCTAAGAATTGGTAATCCTTATAAGAGCCGGTTACCCCAGCTCATTGACCTTATCACCCTCCATTAAACACCCCGTCATCAACTCCTCCTCTGTAAAAACCCCTTCTTACACTCCATCGAAGCAAAATGGCATCTTCAAGCTCAGTGGGAAGTAGGAGCAATATCCGATCACGAAGGCAAGCATTAAGGGTAACATGCTTTTGTGATGACTCCATTAGTAAGTGGACATCATGGAGGCTAACAAACCCTAGCAGGAGGTTCATCGGCTGCCCTAATCTTCGGGTAAGTATCCCTTAAACTTCTTTAATTACATCTCAAATCTCTTCCAATTAGGTTTTATTTCCTATATAACAGGATGAGGAAAAAGATTGCAAGAACTGGGTTCATATTGTTCCATTTCACCTTCGGATCATGGGTTGAGTATTGAAACTGCAATTTGTCTTCATCGTCACCTTCACTATCACTCTGCTTGTCCTGCGGTGCTTCATCTTCTGACATTCCTTCAAAATCATTTAGGTTTATCTCAGGTATGGTGCATTCGTCGAGCGCTACGTCTGTGAGAGTATTTAGGAACTCATCTTTGCATCGACTTCTTTGTTTGTGTTTGAAAAACTCATCCAATTCCACGTCAATGGTATCGAAGTCATCTACTGTCTCCATTATCACTACAAAACAAAAATTAATCAAATATTTTAAGGGAAACACGATATTGGAGGACCACGTGGATTTTTTTACCTTTGATTCTTCTCAGGTATCGTTTTGCTTCAATGAAGGGTAAGAAGGGGTTTTACAGAGGAGGAGTTGATGACGGGGTGTTTAAGGGAAGGTGATAAGGTCAATGAGCTGGGGTAACCGACTCTTATAAGGATTACCTATTCTTAGGGCCAAACTGAGTGTATTAGCCGGTAATCTGTCCTTTTTCACAAGTAAAATTTAATTTAGGACTAAATCATAAATTGGGGCAAAATTTTTGGGACTTTTTCGCAGATTTCCCAATAAATTATCTATTTCCAATTAATATATTAATCACATAATATATTAATAAATCATTTATTACAATTTATTAATATATAATAAACTAATAAATTTATTCTCTCTCTACAAATGTCATTCTAACCAAATTCTAGTTATAAGGGCACCCCAAAATGGACTTTGTTTCCAATTACAAGAATATATCAATTTAGTTATAAGCTTAGACACCTTAATCCAACACTTCCCACCTTGGTCTAGATTTGGGAGTGGTTCCTTTATTGGATGTAGACCCCAAGTATAAAATTAACAATAGTTTAATACTAGAATTAGCCGTTAATGATAAAAGGGAATGGAATATGGAAAAAAGTCTTATGAAATGATATGATATGTATGAAATGATTTTCATGAAAATACTTTGAAATATTTTTGTTAAAATGTGATAAAGGTTTTGAGTCACAAACTCGTGTATCTCACGAGACATTATCGTCTTACGTATATCTTTTTAATGTCATGTGTTACCATTTACACTTAAGTATAACGGATGATAGATGGAAGTTAGAAGTTAAGAGATAGCAAATGGAGTGGAGCTTTCCAAGCTCCTTATTAATAGTATTGTGGTAATTCTTATTTGCTTGTTATGATTTGTATGATGCTTAATAGTAACACCCAAGTTTTAATTTGTAATTGTCTTGTGGGACCGATTTTTATTAATTGGGGTTTAATACCCAAATATATTAATAGCCATAACATTTAAAAAAGTTTGAAAAAAGTGGGGTGTTACAGTTTTCCTACGAATTAATATCACGGTAACCTGAAAAACATGCTATCATAGGTAAAATGGTAAAATCTAACATTTTTGGCAAATATAATGGCATTAACGAATATAAAAATGGACTTAGGGTAAAACCAAATAAATTTGGCAATTATACATGCTTTTATGACAATTCAACTTTAAAGAATAATGATGTACTTGTTAGGTGCATAAATTGTACCTTTTCATATGTATATATCATGTGTATTCAAAGCATTACATTGCATTTTAGTATAATTTTGAATGCATTTTGCATTTCTCGGAGATTTTCGAGGATCAATCTACTTTTCACTATTTTTGTGGGTGTTTCAGGGGCATTTGAGGATTTGGGCATGCTTATGATGTTAAATTTGGAGATTCTATGCAAAATTTTAGAAGAATCGGAGCAAGATTGAAGAGAATGAAAAAATTGGAAGTTGATGCTTATTCAGGGGACTCCACGGTCGTGGAATGCCATGCCTTTATCGTTCCACGACCGTGAAATGAAGATTTCAGCATATCAGAAATTGTCATTTCGAGGTCGTGCGATCGTTGTCGACAATTTTCTTTGATTTTCCAACGTCCGTTTTACTGAAGTTTATTCGCCATTTTGAACACAAATTCGTTTAAGACATCCCAAAGGGAAATTTTCATCAATTTTATCATCAATTAGCACTTTAGAAACATTTAGATTTCGAATTTGTAAGTTCGTTTGAAAATTTAACTTGTTGAATTTGTGCTTTGATTAAGCCATTTATGGCTAACTTTTCCATCCATTTCGGATTCTAGATCCTTAAACACTTGTTGTTAGACTATGATGTGAACTTAATTTCATGTTTCTATCTAGTAATATTTGATTTTTTTCTTCATTATATACTCAATTTGTACTCTTTTCACTTGATCAATTGTGACAACCCGAAATTTCTATCTTGTACAACTTTCAATTCAATCAAAGTCAGACTCGTTTATGCTATCTTTTAGCATTGTTTAGGGTCTGTTTGAGTGTTATAAGTCTAGTCCAATTAAGGTTTGGGTTTAGGTATAAGTTATCTTACACCATAAGTGTTGCATTCGGTCCAAATACTCCTTCAAGAGGAGTGTACGGCCATACACCCATCATGGCCGTGAACTCATGCGCATATATAAGCCAACCCTTCTTTTTCCCTCACTTTTCACACTTCCAACTCAGGAAAACTCAATTCCCTCTCTCAACTCTCATCTAGCCTTTCACCTTGATCTTCAAAAATGTAAGTATTCCTTCCATTGATTAATTGATACATTGCTTTATCTAGTGAAAATCTATGATTTCATCCATGAAATTACCTCTTTTGACTAGATCTTCAAGAATCTCACCTTTCACTAAGAACACACACTAGTTCTTGGTGGCCGTGAACTCTATAGGGAATCTCAAAAGTGTAAGTATCTCTTCTATCTTCTAGTTAGGCTTGATAAACACTTGATTCCTAGCCTTAAAGCATCATCTAATGCATGAACTCCAAGGGTGTACGGTCGAACACTCCTCATATGGTCGTAAACCCCTGTTTATTCCATGATTTGGCCTCAAACTCACTTTATGTCACAACATAGGATCATGAACACTTAATGGATGCTAGATAGGACCATAAATCACCTCTTTTGCAAGTTCTTCAATGAGTGTACGACCGTACACTCCATGACCGTACACCTCTTGGCCGTATACACCATTGTGTGGTTGTAAAACCCTTTAATGCAATCATTTGTGATTGTAACCTTAGTTTCAACTGTTCATTAGTCCATAAGGTTGTTTCCCTTCATGATTAGTTGTTATATACACTAATTATATACATATATGTGTTATTATATGCTTAATAGGACCCGTTTGTGCTCGAGGATTCACTTGACACTTAGCATCCTATATAGATCTTACATTCGAATCACTCACTACAGGTGAGTTCATACCCCTGCAATCAATCTTTTAATTGTTTTAAATGCTTTTTTTTTTTTGGGGGGGGGGGGGGGGGAGGGATACAAGTTGAACACAATTAAATTTGTGTTAGTATAAACATTTATATACTTGTCAAATATCTCGTTTTAAACTACCTTTAAACATTGTTAGACTTTCTTGTAAAACGCTTTTTTAAACTACTTTTAAACCCTTTTTACTTTCAAAATAATATTCATTTATGTATTAGTGTATAAGTATGCTTTAATGGACTTAGGACTATTGCTGATAACCTTGACTCTTGTTCCTTGTTTGGTTGTGGGCTTAGGGTAGGATACACTAGTCCAACTGTTGATTAACTCATAGTTATACATGCTAAATACGTATAAGAATATAAAATTTTATCTTTAAAAGTTATACTTAACTCAATTGTTTAAGCTGAACAATTGAGTATTTTCTATAAGTCGAGAACAAAACAAACATATTAGTAAACTATAATAGGTATAGTTTAGAGAACATATACAAAGAACAGAAGAGAACATATACATATACATATAGAAGAACGGGAAAGAACATATACATACATACATATATATATATATATATATATATATATATGTATATATATATACATACAAGTACAGAAAGAACATGATAATTAGAATGTGAAATACTACTTCATGATACAACAATACATTGTTGTATCACATTTGTAACCAAAATTCTCCTGGAGGGAGAGCAGGCATTATGTGTATAGATCTATACGGGACAGACACTCCCACACCCCGACTGCTAGCTACAGTCCCAACCGGTAAGGCCAAGGGGTGACAAAATGTCACCTCACTATTTTCGATGTCAAAAGGTCGTCGTGTATTCAGCCGTCAGTCAGCATGGTTACAACTACATCACATTTTAAATCTTTAATTAACCAAACCGGTTTTAAAAGACAACAAGACTCCCTAAAGCGTATAGTACATTTAATACGACTATGCATCTTCATTTTCCCACTTCGTATTTCAGCAGTGGTCCTGCTGGGTTAAAACATACTATTTTCCTAATAAAAGATAGTGATAATATAGGAAAACCTACTTTTATATAGATATAAAGTACTACTATTCTTACTACACCATTTCTAGTACATATACAAACATTACATTTTTACATGAGAACAACCATACAAACAATCGGGCCTCGGGTAGAAGGCTGCATTTCATTATAAGCAGGAAATATAGGATTTTCTGGGAAAACTTTACAAACATTTCAAGGTGTTAAATACAAATATTTCAAGTTTTTAAATACAAACATTTCAAGGTTTTAATTACAAACAAATGTCACTAAACACTTATCAACTCACCAACATTTACGCTGATACTCTCTTTCTAATTAACTTGTATTCTCAGGGAACCAGTAGACAGGTACACACACACAACTTTTGAAGGACAAAGTGGACTCAAGACTCGTCATTATTTTGACTATACATTTTTGGTGTCATTTAAACTTTACCAAAGAACACACATGTATTTAACTATTCTATTAATGCAATGGATGTTGTTGCTTGTTTTACTATTATGCATTGTTATGATACTATACATGACGTCCTCCACCCTCGAATGTTTCCGCCAATTCGGTTTGGGGGTGTGACATCAATGAATTAGGGTTCATATCATGGCTGTTAGTCAAATTATGAATTTTGTACATGTTTTATGATTTTGTAATTAGTGACAAACACTTAATTGGTTTCAATGGAATCAAAACTAGTGTAATCAAAGATTAATTGTTCATACTCCCAAGAATATGAGGAATATTGAACATTGTTGGTAACAATTGCATGAACTTAAGGTCTTTTAGTTATTTAATCTAAGAGCTTGTTTGGATTTTATCAACTAAATGAAGTTTTACTTAAAGAGAATGTTTTGAGTAAAATACTTTTTTCAATTTGGAGATATTAGAGCTTTTTAATATCTTAGTTATCAATCT